TACTTGAAGATATGCTGGAGGGTTTCTGTTTCTGGTTGATCTTCTCAATGTTGGAGGAGGTGTAGAAACTGGTGTAATAGGTACAGAATTTGTTTGATTATGAGATGGGTTGGTGTTTGAAATAGGTGATTGAGGTAATGGTGATGAAGGTATATGATTATTAGAGGTAGGTGAGGGTATATCATGTGTATCAGGTGTAGGAATAACCTGAGATGATGGCAGTGAATCATAAGAAAAAACAGGGGGTGTAGGAAACATAGGGTCAGAAGAGTGAGTAAGAAATGTGGTATGTTTGAAGGGTAAAATATGTTCATAGAAGGACACATTTCTGGAAATTATTATGTTCTTGGTTTCCAAGTTGTAAAGCCTATAACCTTTACAACCTAATGGATAACCAAGTAATATGCATTTGGATGCCCTAGTGTCAAATTTTGACCTATGTGCAGTTATGGTGGATGCATAACAGAGACAGCCAATCACCCTTAAATGATCAAGGGAAGGTTTCTTTTCATATAATTTTTCAAATGGAGACATGTTATGATGAATGGAAGATGGCAGTCTATTTATGATATGTGTGGCAGCTGTGACACAATCTATCCAGAAATGCAATGGTAAATGGGCATGGAAAAGAATAGCTCTAGCTACTTGAAGTAAATGTTGGTGTTTTCTCTCCACTCTACCATTTTGTTGTGGAGTCTCAACACAAGATGTTTGATGTATGATACCTTTAGAGGTGAAAAAATTATGCATAATGAATTCAGTTCCATTGTCTGTTCTTATGCATTTGATTTTCTTTTGAAATTGGGTGTATACAAGATTATAAAAATGAGTCAAGTACTCAGTAGTATCAGATTTATGAACAAGAGGGTACACCCAAGTAACTCTACTATAATCATCAACTATAGTCAAAAAGTATTTGTGTCCAGAATGAGAAGGAACTGAAAATGGACCCCATAAATCACAGTGTATGAGATCAAATGACTGAGATGCAATAGATGTACTTTGATCAAAAGGTAACCTCTTTTGTCTAGCATAATGACAAGTGTCACAAGGTAAAGTAGAGAATTGTTTACATGGTAAACTAGAACATTCAGAGATAGTAGCAAGTTTGTGAAAAGATAAATGCCCTAATCTGTTATGCCAGATTTCAGTAGGTGGAGGTACATGAAAATGATGAGTGGATCCTATTACATTACTGGCATCAGAAACAGAATTAACAAAATGATCAGAAATATGACATGTAGACAAAGACAGATGATATAAGCCATGCTTTGCTTCAGCAAAACCAATCATTCTTTTGGTTTGCAGGTCCTGTAATGAACAAGTAGATGAAGCAAAATTGACAGAACAATTATTTGAAGCAGTCAACTTAGAAACTGAAATAAGATTGAATGTAAATGTAGGGACAAACAAAACATGATGCAGCACAAGATTAGGCCCCAGGTTAACCTGTCCCACATGGCTTGCATATGTCTTTTGTCCATTAGGGAGATTAATAGCAATAGAAATTTCAGAGGGAGTTTCAGTAAAGAAGTTATAATCACAAATCATGTGGTCAGTGGCTCCAGTATCAAGAATCCAAGTATTTTTTGAAAAACTAGAATTAGACTGACATGAAAGAGATGTGATACCTTGCTGTTCTATATGAACAGTTGCAGCAACAGGGGATGACTCAGCCAGAGCCTTTCCCTGCTTGTTAGCAAGAGACCTTTTGTACTCTATGAACTCAGTAAACAAAGCATCAGTCATGGAAGAATTGTTTAGAGTACTTTGAGGATTCACATTATTCACAGTATTCACATCATTGGCAGAAGAGTGAGAGGGGTGGATTCTAGGGCCTTTGGGGCCAATCCAATTAGCAGGGTAGCCAATGACTTGGTAACATTTTTCAGTAGGATGATTGTAGCCACAGTGGTCACATTTGAACTTCTTTTTGTCCTTGGGAGCAGAGTTTTTAAAATATTTGGAAGGACCATGATTGGTCTTGGCTAACATAGCAACAGACTCAAAAGGTTTGGAGGTTGTTTGCAAATTTCTTTGGCTTTCCTCTTGCAACAAAAGGGAATAAACTTTGGATAGTGAAGGCAGTGGAGAAGATAATAAGAAATGACTGCGAAGAGCTGAATAAGAGTCATTGAGTCCAACTAAGAATTTCATAACAGAATCATTTTGCTGAGATAAAGACATGGACTCGAAAATGTTGCAAGAGCAAGCAGACATAGCACCACAAATACATTTGAACACAGGTCTGTAAGTGATATACTCATCCCACAATGATTTGAAAGAAGTGTAATACTGAGTAATA